AGTGGTCGGGCACTGGAATAGGCTGCCCGGGGAGAGGGTGGAGTCCCCATCCCTGGATGTGTTTAAGAGATGTTTAGATGTGGTGTTGGGGGATACGGTGTAGGGGAGAACTTTGTAGAGTAGGGGAGATGGTTGGACTCAATGATCCCAAGGGTCTCTTCCAACCTAGACAATTCTATGATTCTATGATTCTAATTCTAATACTCTGGGGGCTCGGGCACCTGCTGACCAAGACGCAGCACCTTGTACATTTAACAGTCTCCAATGCTTTTTCATCTATTAACTTGTCTAATCTTTAAAACCCACAAAAGCTTTTTGCATCTAGGACTTCGTGCCATTGGGGCTTCTAAAGACATTTGTTTCGAACACGTCACCTGCTAGTTTCATTAGATGCTACATATTACCTGAAAGGAACTTCTCCTCTTCACCTTCTCCAGATCACTCATGAGCTCAAAAAAAGCACCCTAACACACGCCCCCACCTCTTCACCAGCTACAAAGTCTTAGTTAAGGGAAAGGTACTCAAGACCTCTCATAGTATTTTCACACTTCTCTATCTTTTTCTGTTTCACTAAACCCTGAGCCCAGAATTGACAGTACTGAAAACACACGCACGATGGGTCGATAGAGACACAACCATGTTCTATGCTCCATTCCTTCCCTAGCAAATCCTACAATGCAGTTAGGGTTCTACCCAGCATTAGGGTTCTACCACGCATTAGAGTTCTGTCTCTAGGATCTTGCTTCTGAACGATAATCAACTCAGACTACTACTGCAGAACAGTTACAGATTGGGTCCTCCCCGTCCCTCTCACACATCTCACTACCTCAGTCTAATATAAAATTGGGTGATGACATTTAATTGCTCATTAACTCGGCAGAAAAAAATTCTGCACTAGATAAGAGACTGAAAAGCAAGATTTGTATTCTGAAGAAAAGAGGAGGGAAAGGAAAAGAGAAAAAGCTGAAGGACTAAAACAGCAAAAGAACTTCAATGCAGCATGCATGAAGGAACTACACATCTACTGCCCACACAGAGTCTAACCTGCAGGATGCAGATGATGCACCGCTTCAGACTCCTCTTCGCGCTCATCCTGAAGGGAATCATCATGAAACGAGGCATCCTCGCTGCTGCCTTCCAGACCATTTCGCAAGGCCACCCGCATATTCAGAGCCACAATGGTATCATCCACGCTGTTCTGGTGTTTGTGCACAGCGTTCTCTGGCGTCTGTGGGATGGGCTTGGCAATGGGGTTAGTGTAAAACCTCGTCACTTCATGTTGATCATCATCCTCCTCTCGCTCACCATCTTGTCTGTGGTTTTCATCGGGAGGTACTGACAAGAAGAACCTGAAGAAATGGAGAATAAAGTTGAATTATTTAGTTCAAAGGGATTTACGTCTACATTAAAATTCTGGTGTCTTTTCATATAAGCAGCAAACAGGACCACTACATGAACTGCTGAGTCAGCAGGCTGAGGGAAGCCATTATTCCTTCACTCTGCCCTTGTTAGACCACCTCTGCCACTGTGCATCCAATCTGGGGCTCCCACTCCAAGAAAGACACTGGTAAGACCAGGAGAGGGGTACCATGATGGCTGGGGGACTAAAGCACACGCCCTGGGAGGAGAGCTCAAGGAGACGGGTTACTCAGCCCGCAGAAAAGGCTTGGGGGGGTGCAACAGCAGCCTTCCAACACCCAAGACAAGCCACATGTACGTGTGGCAGAAACATGAGAAACAATGGTCAAATTACGACAAGGAAATCAATGAGGACAGTCAAGCGCTGAACAGGGATCCAGAGAGGCTGCAGAATCTCTATCCACAGAAGGTTTGAGAGACTCCACTGGACAAAGTTCACAGTAACCAGGTCTGGGTCCACCGTTGAGGAACAGAGACCTCCCAAAGTCACTTCCAACTGAACGATTCAATGGTTTGTGAGCCAGGCTGTTAGAGACTTCTGTGCCCAAAACACAAACTGTTGTAGAGGAACGGGGTGCTTAAGTCTTGCGGGCGCCACGATCAACTCAAACTTGAGAACACTGTTGTGCCAGTCACTCCAAACAACCAGCTTCAGAGCTGCCTGTTGTACCAGGCTACTGGCAACAAAGCTAACAAATGCCTCTGCCCCATTATGAACCATCCAGGTTAGCACTTCGGTGATCAGAAACAAGGTTCCCCGCTCCCATAATCAGCTCTTACTTCTAGTCACTTTACAGAAAATCCAAATATTGAGATGTTGAGCTGGTCAGGAATTTTTCCAGCCTCTGCTTTTATAAAAAAAGTTCATCTGAAATATGACCATAGATTTCAGAGGAAGCAGGTATTCGGGTGTTTGGGGGAAGAGACAGCCTTAGAGATTCCTCATCTTTATATGTAGAAAAAGCATTATTATTATGAGACATTTGGATCAGTGGAGTTTCCTTGTAACTCCCTCATTACTGAGCAGGACTAAGCAGGAGGAGAAGTTCTTCTCCTCTCAGGGTCAGGTTTATCGCTTCCCTCAAGAAATGGTGTAGTTCCTCACTACAGGGAACGAAGAAAGACACATCCAGAAATTAAGTCACTCCTGTTTGAACTCCTGACTTTGGATTGAATGAACTGGTATGTGACCACACAGAAGAACATATGGCTACTTCAAGAGGAAATGAGTCTCACAACAGGTCAAGATGACACAACAAGACCTCACAACAGCTAAGACGACATCCCTGAAAACAACTACCTACTCTACTAATAATTTAGAGACAGGCATAACCAGTTTGCATTTCTTGTAAGTATAAAGACCTTCATGGTGAATCAACATACCGATCTCCATTCTCTGGATACTCCGATGGAGAAGCCAGGTCTTCATTTTCACGATTAACAGGTGAGAAAAGATTGCTACTGTTGAGATTCTTCAAAACCAACTTTTTAATGCTCTTCCTAAAAAACAAAAACAAAACAAAAAACCACACACAACACAAAAGAGAAATTTGGATCTATCCACTGCATAAATAGACATTTCACACTTAGTTTGTGCGTTCCAGAGACCAGGAATCAGCTGTATAAGACCTATGCCCACGCTCAGGACATACAAACTGTATGTCTGTACATACACTCTGTACGTCTACAAGTATGTCTGTAAGAGCATTGCAGTAACTGAGATACTAAAACTCTTTTTGGTATTCCATTCAAGGCTTTGGTTTATGAGTAAGCGTAGAACGCACAAGTCATTGAAAGCTTCAAAATCCAAGTTCAGTAAACCACAGTATTATCTGTTTTACAAAACAGAGCTTTTCCAGTGGAAGCACAGAACCCTGCACAGAATGTCTGCCCCACAGATGCGGGTTCTTCTTCACTACAGGGTCACCTGAGGAGCAAATCAATGGCCAGGCTACATTCACTGCCCACAGTCTGAAGATCACCAGGTATCTATGTCAATTACACTCAAAAAAATCTAAGCATCCCTTTGTCTGATCTTTTGTTCATTTGGTGTTTTTCAATAAAACACTGAGTAATTCCATGCTCTGCTCTCTCCCTGGAAAGTGAGCAGATGGTTCAGGCTGAATTAAAGACAAACCAAGTTCACAACAGGTACAAAATGCTTTTTAAAAGCCTGTACTTTCAATGACTGATGCATCTTTCTCCAAAGATTTTTGTTGTTTGTTTCTAACTAAGCTCCAAAGCTTTCCAAACCCCTTTTCAATTTGATTGCACTAATGCTTTTGAAGACTGAAACCAAAAGCATCAGTAGGGCAGATCCACAGCATCATTATTAGTTTCTGACAGGAACATCTGCGTATGTGAAACAGCAGCAGTGCTACGCTATGAAACTGTCAGAAATCTGCCTTCATACTGACTGCATTAGCAACCCTAATGACGCCTGTATTTCAGAAGCGGGAAGTATTACACCGTACAAGCTTTCCTTGTAATAATTCCTAATTGACTTCATAGGAGCTTTGCTCCAATCATGGGATGACCTCATTTTACAGCTTATTTGGCCTTACCAGTTTAAGTTGAACATTTTTATCTCCTCTACAGAAAACAGTCTACTCAGGTTTTACAGAAAACTTGTTACTGCTATTCACATTTGAACCATGTCACAAAACAGTTACGGAATTTAGGATGCTAGACGAGAGTTTATTTAATCTGATCAGAAGATTCTTGCACCACCTCCTCCCTCCAACGTACACAGAAGAAAAACTAACTTTGGCATGAATGCACCATTGGACAGGGAAGGCTCGTCGTCATCAAGACCATCAAAGAGATGAGATTTAGCAGAGCCAGCTGACTGCAAAGCTTTCGGTCGCACTCTGGTCGCTGGACGCGGAGTCAGCTTGTAGTGGGTGGGTGTCGTTAAGGCCTTCTGAGCTGCTGGGTTAGTTGGTTTCAGTCTCTGAAACAAAAAGATGTAGAATTGGAATTTTAGTACGGCTTACTGCAAAGGTCTGTGGGCAGTGAGAGTGCTTGCTTTGTGAAGGCCATCCAGTCAAGGACCTTTTAAATGCAATGGGGATAGCAAGTAAAGGGGTAAGCACTAAACAAAACCAGAGACACAAAGCTGGCTGACAACAGGTAACAGAAACAATGCCAAAGACCAAAAGTCTCCAGTCACCCACTGATGGGCCATTAAGAAACTGCAGGCACAGCTTTGGAGAGGGCCAACCTGGACCTCCTGTCCAGGCTGAGTGAATCTGGGGACAGCTGCTGGAGTCAGACCAGGGATGTGGGCATCTCGTGCCAGTGGCGCCAGCAGCTGGAGCGAGGGGAGGCCTCAGTGCGTGGTGCAGATGTGGGTCTCTGCTCAAGCCCCTGGGATGGGATCAGTGCGTGTCCCCGCTGTAGCTACTCAGGGGAGAGCACTAGGGTGAGCGAAGGTCTCGGCAACATCCACTGGAGCAAGACCACATCTCACAGGCCTGCGTGCCTCGGTGATGGCGGCTGGCAGTGAGGGAGGACAGGCAGAGCACCTGCATCGTCCCCAAACCTCGTGGATGTATGGCTGTGTAATTCACTGCCAAACTTCAAGCTGGACTAGCCCACAAGCAGGGCTCCTGGCAGATATCGGAAAGGCAGAGGACTCGGGCCGAGGGATCTGCGAGTACAGAAACCATGAAATGTGTATCCTTCATGGTACAGAAACCACGAAATGCGTGAGAACACCCATTAAATGTGGAAGTGTGTGTATCTTTCTGCAGCAAGCATCAAGCTGGACTAGCCTGTCCTGTGGAGCAGGTTAAGAGGGCCTGAGATCTGGGCAGGGCTATCAGATGGACAGAGGGACCATGCTGCTGCTCGAGGGATGCACAAACGTGTGGGTATGTCTAGAGAGCGTGAGCATGTGTGCTTTCGCTAGGGAACGTCAACCCTTCTCAGCCAAAGAGGAGGAAGGGGACGTGGCTGTGTATGCTTATGTGTTATGGGAGTCCTGGTAGCGTCACATGTGGGTGCTGCTGAAGGCAGTGCCTCGTCTGTGGCTGTGCAGCCAGCTGTGTCAGTGCCTCTGGGATACACACTCAGCTTCACAATGATTGCACCTGCAAATGGGAGAGTAACAGCCACATCGTCCATCAGCCTGAGGAGCAGACCCCCTGGGTCTCCAGGCACACTGTACTGGGCTCCAGGGGCTGGGGCAGGAATAATCTCTAGCCCCTGGAATTTGCCCAGGGGCAGCAGCCATTTAGAACCTCCCTTAGCACTTCAGAAGTCTGAAAAGTATTTGTTTTGTTGTCTTTCAAAACAAACCAACAGGGTATGGTTTGTCAGAAACTGTCATAAGAGATGTCACAAGCAAAGCTCAAGCTAAGCACTAGAAGTATTCCAAGCACAGGAAATTACCCATCTTTATTCTCGATTAGCAGCCGTGAGCATAACAAGAACTCCAAAGCCCAGGCTCTGACGTAGTCAAAAGCAGTAAACAAAGCCACAGTATAGGCAGCGTCTGTCCTGGAGAGCATAAAAAGCCACTGCACCGTATGAGTATACAGATGGCAACCTACTTTGCTGCTCATTGAGTACTTAAGATAGTGAGCACAAAACATGAATTAATTTCAAATCTTACCCAGAAAGTGAGTTTAAAGTTTACATGCCCTTACCTCTTCCTTCTTCTTTGGGTCTGACATAGGGTTTCTGAAGAGCGGAGAATCTCCAAAGGGTGAGTAAGTCAGGCTATTGAGATGCTGCTGGAGGACAGCTTGCTGGGCAGCTGATGCATTTGGGTCCGTCAGTGCTATAAAAAGAACATAATTTTTTAGTTGTAATAGTTTTACTCATAGAACCAAGGTTAGGTAGAAAAGACATTCTTCCAACCAGAGGACCTCCTCATAGGAATTCAAATCTCTACACAAACTTAAGAAATCAGATTCTATTTCTTCATTAGAATTTGCAACCACATTCAGTAAGTTTATAATCGGTGAAAAGCTGAGGGTATAGAGAGCTACACATCAGCAGAACGAGCATGGCCTGCCAAAACCTTTCACTAATACATTTAACTTCTGAAACATCTTCAAGGAAAAAAAAAAAAAAATCCTTGATGCAAAATTTTGATATTCTTGCTACAGCAATCAAACTTACAGGTCTAGAGGTCTCCTAATTTTGCCTCTCTGGCTTCTAGCACCTAATTTTAGTTCCCATTAAAATACTATAAGCCTGTCTTCCCACAGCGTTGTGCGCTGTGCATGTGCTGTTGTCCCCCTACCCCAAGTTTAAAATCCTTTTGCTGAAACCACAGCCTCAGAGGGGCAGAGCGCCAGGTCTGTGTGCCACTTGTTGGGCAGGTCTGAGCGCGTTAAACAGGGTGAACACTGCCGGATTTAACTTACAAAATGACAGCACAAGTGCCTGAACCCAAAGACCATTGATTTCACCAGTGGCACAGCATACTCGCTAATGAAGTCCCTCTAGCTATCCTACCTGGAATTACTGAAGAAGCTAACATTTCCCTTTTTTTTTTATAAGCATCTACTGTTGCTGCCCCAAATTCCATGATGTAAAATATGTTAGTAATCTTGAAGACAAAGCTTTAAAATAGCTGCAATTATCAGTAACGTCAAGCAACTCTGAAGTACTTAAAAATATATTTTAAGTTATGTTATTAATGTGGTTTCCACTGCTACTGAGAACAGAAGTGGCCTCAAATATATTTTTTCTCCCCTCCAAAGCATTTGGGTGGCTGCACTCCTATGTTTAGGCACATCTGGAACGAGGGAGGAAGCAACAATAAACTTGGATTTAAGTTACACTTACCTACAGCAGGCTGAGGGGCTCCAAAGCCCAGAGTAGCTGTTGATGTATTGAATCCTGGTGCTCCAAACGCTCCTGTTCCCAGGGTTCCACCAAGTTTAGGCTGGGTGTTTCCAAATAAAGACGTCTGTCCTGCCCCGAGAGCTGTAGCATGAGAGATGACTGTCCTTTACTACAAGACTGTGACAAGCTTACAAGCCAATTTATCCCACAACAAAGAATCAATTCTTTATTAAACTGCAAGAAACATTCAACACAGCCATGAGCGCTGCAGACACTCAAGACTCATGGGATCAGACCAGAGGTTTTGAACACAGAGGACGCTCCCAGTTTTCTGAGCCATTAGCCACCACTGTAAGCAATGCTGCCTGCAATTTCTAACAGGTTACTTAGCACCGTGTTAGCAAGCTCTGCTTGGTTCTGATTTGAGACAGAGATTCATGGCTTCAAGCTAAAACATCTACCGCCTTTTACTACATAAGAGTTAGCAAGATATACCAAGGCTATATTACCACCAAAGTTTGAGGACTATGCTTAGGCTGACATCAAATAAGCTGGTAAGCTGTTTACCTGTTCCAAATCCTGTTCCAAGCCCCGTTCCCAGAGTCCCAGTTGCGGGCTTATTTCCAAACAAACTATTTCCAGCAGTATTGGCACCAAAACCTTCAAGAACAGAAGCAGTAGTTCATTAATCTAAGACTATTAGAGAAGAAAATAAAAACACATACCTAAATAAATAAGCACCACTGGCTAAAAGGCAGCACTGCCACAGCTAAGGTCAAATTTCACAGAGTTTCCAGCAATGCAAGGTGAACTGACAAGCAGGAAGAAGGGACTTCAATGGTAAAAATCGTATTTGAGTTATGAACATAATAGTGAAAACATCAGTACAGAATAATACTGTTTTGCCTTCTTAAACTGTCCAATTTGTTGCAATCTTCAAAGTTTTACTGAAAGCCAGAATGGACATGATGCTGCTGTATCTGGCAACAGAATAAAATGTATTAAGTTTCTTTAAATGCCAGAAGGAAAAAAAATCCCATTTTATACTGTTTATACCACACATGCACTTCTCTGATTCTTAGTGACAAAGCATGTAAGAACTCAGATTTGTCCAAGCACACAGGCTGAAGGCACATCTCTAATTGTAACTAAGCAGAATCCAAATCTAACGTTAGACAGATTAGTTGTTAGACTGAAGACCGCGAAACTATCCTATGGTTGGTTAGCATGCTAAGACAGAATTAAACTAGGAAAGTGCAGTCATGGACCAACGTCAGAAATCCCTTAGAACCAAACACCATTTCTCTGATAAACTCTACCACTGCAAGTAATGCAGGCAAATTAAAAACACATACTACAGTCAGACTTGATCACCACCAAACTGTGTCAACACACGAACTAACGTGGCTATGAAGATCTTAGAGAACAGCGGAACAAGGGACCTGGAAGCAACTTTCACTAATACGGTGACAACAGTTTGCCCAAGGCTGGTCACCACCCAAACTGCGCTTGCTGAGGAGCTGCCCTGGCAGTCTGAGCGCGGGACGAGTTCCTCCCTCTGTCTTATCCTGGCAGGCTGGCGTGGCAGGCTAACTGCATTTTAGACTTTCTTGTCGATATGGCTTAAAAAAAACAAACCCACACCAAGAAACAAATAAAAGATGTCAGGATCTCAACCCACTCCTACTCACTTTTAGGAATGCAATTTTATTGCTCTCAGAGCCAAAAAAAAACCCAACCCAAAACAAAACAGCTTTCAAGACAAGTCCCACGAAGGAAGGCTGTGATTCCCTTGAACTATCACCACGCGCCTTCTGCTTGATCACACGCTCATTCAACACCGACTGTCTAACATCAGCATCAGAGGCCAACGTTAACACAAGACCCAGTCCTTCAGGACTTCGATCCTTCACAGCATGGAAGACAGCAACAGGTACCAGTTACACTGGAACAGACTCTTTCATTTTACCCTCACTCCGGCATAAGATCTCCTTATCCCTGCCACCAAGCTACAGATATCGCTGGTTTTACCCTTCAGCACTCCTTCACAACCACAGCGTATTTACAGCCTCTTAACAAACCTCTATGGTGCATGAATTATTTGATTTCAAGAGTTTTCACTTAAAGGTTCCACCTTCTCTTAAGCACTCACTGAAGAGCAGTACTTTAACTTAACTACCTACCTTCTTGAGTCAGGGAATACCACCAAGAGGAAAGGTAAAAACAGCAGCCAAGGTGTTTCCCTGCAGCAACATGCGTCAGAAGCATGGCTTACCTGAGAATCTTAACATTCATAACCATTTAGCATGCGATACTCAGCAGCCAGGTGTGTGGTATATGCAGTATAATTTTAAGTGACTGAAACCCCACTTTTTTTTATATGTACCAAAATTGGAAGTGTTTGTATTGGTTCCTAAAGTCAGGGTTGGTTTGTTACCAAAGAGCCCGCCGCCAGTGGTTGTACCAAACGAGGGAGCACTGGTCGTGGTGGTTCCAAATCCAGCAGGCTTGTTACCAAACAGGGTCTGAAAGGAAGAAAACATCAATTTGGAAACCTGACAGACTGACATTAAAAGAACTGCATTAGTGTTTCATCGTAGGCAAGAAAGCATAACTACAGCCAAGCACAACTTAGACCACACAACCCAGACTCCCACCAGTGGTGTGTTATTTACAAGCCACATGCACTAGTACCCAGCAAGCACCTTCTGGACACATGTATTCTCACTCCATTAAAGCCAAAATGACTGAATATCAAGAATTAAGTTCGTTTGCTGTTAAGTCATCCTCACAATTTAAACGCCTGTATTTCTGACACCACGCTGAGGCATCCCTAGCAATATACAGGCAGCGGGATGCTCAGTCTCTCTTGCTGTCTGTTATCACTCAAGACGTTATTGTTAAAAAAATTTCTGCAACACTAGTTCTATTATACATGCTTATATTAAATCCTTTACATAAACCCACACTATTTTTGTGTCATAGGCATCTTGACTCTTAAGATAATGCTATTTCCATGGAGGTCAACACCCAGGGAACAGCACTCTAAGCCATCTGCTTTTGTTTTGGGTTGGGTTTTTTTGTTATTATTATTAAGGTACAGACATACCGAACCGCCAACACCAAATCCTGTGTTAGCTTGTCCAAAAAGACCAGTTCCGGTTCCAAATCCAGTACCAGCATTTGTATTGGCAGCTGTTCCAAAAAGGCCTCCAGGCTGTGAGGGCTGGGTTACCCCAAAGAGACCCTACGAACAGGAACTTCGTTAAGGTAACGCTGCAATGCTTTTCCAAGTGTAGCACTGACGATAACCAAACTAACACACAAAGTCAGTTAATAAAATGGATGCTACAACATTACCCCTTTTGCCAGGTGAAGAAGATGGGTGAAAAGTATTTCAGAAGCTTTAGCCGTTCTCCAAGAAATTAGGTACAAAGGATATTAAAAAAAAAGTATCAAAGAATCAAAGAATTTATGCTTCAAGCTTAGAAGGATATTGGAATTTCCTCATCGTTTTGAGTGAGGGAGATGGAAAAGAAACTTTTTACAGTGTTTTCTGGGAGAAGTCACGACATATTCAGAAAGAACATCATATATTTGGAGCCAAAGCCTCTAGTTATGCAAAAAGTTACAGCTACGTAGCATCCTTCTACCAAGAGCCCATGAACACTGCTCATTAGTCACCAGAGAGTACAGAATTGTTAATGAATTCCCACAGAACGTTAATAATGGAATTACATTATCTGTGTGAACATGACTGGAAATACTTGAATCAATAGAGAGCAGACTGCTTAAAGAAGAGAATGGGAAAAGTTAAAATTTGTTAAAAGCTGTATGGCTGTCCAATTATCATGAATGAAAAATTCTGATTGGCAAAAAGTCGCTAGCTCAACAGCAGCATTCAAAGCTTTGCATTCTCGTTTTAAGAAGCTGTACTACAATTTGAGGAAGATATAAATTACTATACCGCAGCTAAATCACTGTATTGTAGCTATACCACAACTCACAGCTTTAAGGGTTCAAACAATTTGTCTTACCATTGTGTTCGTGTTTGGCTGCCCTAGAGTGCTGGTATTCCCAAAAAAGCCGGTGTTCTGCGTTGTTGTGGCTTGACCAAACGGTTTGTTAAACAGACTCGTAGTTTGAGATTGCTGACCAAAAAGACCCCCTGTCGTTCCTGTTCCAAAGCCAGTCGTGCCTACAACATACAAACACGTCGGTTAAAAAGTATTTATCCAAACCCACTACATTTCCACACTCAGCACGTTCACACAGGAAAAAAGACGCTTCTGTTCAGTGGAATGGCCAAACACCCAGAGCCATCAATGCAGCACGGCATCCGCGTGCAGACTGAAGTAGTTTGTATTGGGTACTTCATCAGGTTCTCCTTGTCCTACAGTCAGTGGGAGCGTAACGCCCAAGAATTACCAGCACATTTACCTCGCAGATGGATCTGACCAAAAAGACACCAGCTTTGGTACGGGCAGTTTGTTCTCCACTGTACAAAGAAAACCATACCATGAGCGCCTGCAGAGAGCCCACTGGGCAAGCTGCGGGCAGCCAGCCAGCGCCCTGCGCACCGCTTCCGCTCTGTAACCCACACGATGACTACTACAGAAACTTCTACCTGAACTTCAAACACCTTCTCCCTTTTCTCCCCAAAAGAAAAGGGCCGTTTACTTGTGGTACAAATGGTATACACATAGACAAGAGCTTTTGCTCCCTCTCACAGCTGCCCGTGCTGTCTCTGCAGAACTAGCTGCTTTCTTCAGAGCTCACTGCACAAGAATTACATGAAGCCCAGCACAGCTGCCAGGTTGGGCAGTCCCTGTATTTTAACGATCCGTACCTTCGCAGGGTGCAGAGGAGTATCGCCTACTGTATGTTGATCTCTCCAAAGGACAGCAGCTCAGCCCAACCCACACAGGCCTCAAGCACGCCCAGAGATTACACCCAGCAGTGCCTGTCATTACCGACAGACACAATTCTAACCCAAGACAGCACAGCCTTTCTTACAGCAGATCATCATTTCTGTTTCTACGGACCACAGGATTTTGATCTTTTGTTTACAGTCTAATTCCACAAATACAAATACCTACTTTAGGTTTGCAGCAGAAGCTAACAGAGTTTGTGTTTGAACCTTACAGCACTATTTGTTTTACACTAAGTTCAGAAAGGTCCATTATCTGGTTAGGACAACTGAACTGCAACTACCAGACATACAAACACTTAAGTAAGCTGGTTACTTCATACCTGGTTTTTACTTTTTGACCAAGGATGCCAAAATGGACAGCACAACATACAACAGGTCCGCATCCTAACCCCGACCTACTGTGGAGAAAGGCTCCTGACAAAGTCTAATTAGGCTGCTATAAATTAACTTGTCCAGTTCCAGGGAATTTATGTTCGCTCATTAGCGGAAGCAGAATCTTGACTTCACCATTAACCAACTGATGTCATCACCCTATTGATTATTAGCAATATCCTGGTGCGTTTACTTCAAATTGTCTTACTCACCCATGTGAACTAGCTGACTAGCCAGATGCTCTAATGAACTGCCTTCCAACAAAACTCCAGGGATGCCGAGGAAGTTTGCAATCCCGGAAGAATAAGTAAACAGAGATTTCTATGGCAAAGAACCCGATTGTTGAACATTGGTAATACAACTAGTAAAATTCTGAGCTCACACCAGTGTTTCCTCATCTTTAACTACAGAATTTCAATAGCTGAACAGAGTATTTGCATATCCTGTCACAGTAATGACAAGGGACAGGCAGTACTTACTGGTTCCAAAAGCAGTTTTGTTCTGTCCGTATGAAAAGCTGGTGTTAGTAGTAGAAGAGCCAAAAAGTCCTGTGGCTGTACTTGATGTCGCCGTAGAAGACCCAAACAAGCCTGCAGCTGCTCCCGCTCCTACAGGATTGGAGGGCCCTTTCCTATTTGCCTGGTAGTCTTCTAAACGGAGCTCCTAGTAAAGGAAAATCCAGAACTCTTTACGCCGGAGAAGGTTAGAACATCGTCATTAGCGTGCTTACGCAGTGTTCAAGCCCACTCCAGCGTGAAGATATTAAGAAAAGCTGTTAACACCTACATTTTTTTAAAAGGATACCATAAACAGGACCTAAACTTAGGTGTACTTCTGCGGGTCGTGTTTGGGCTTCAATTTTACTTCCCAGAGCTTTTTCAGATCTTTTGAATAGAAGACTTGTTTCAAAGTATCCAACAAGTCAACTTGAACAGAAAGGCTTCAGAGTTAAATCCTCCGGAACACTAGTTTATAGTAAACAACTGTGAGTTTTGTCCGAGATTCTGCCATTATCTCAGCAGTAGGACTGCTCCCAACAGGATGTCTCGCCCTTCTGATATAGGGTGAGAGGGAATTTCAGCTTTTCAGAAACTGCAGTGTTAGGCATTTAAAAGCAAACATGATTAATACGGTGATGCATTAAGTGTTTTACTAGATTATACCTCTCTTCTGTGAGTGATGCAGATAACGAAGGTTGGATTTGTATCAATGAGCACAGAAGGTATTTATTACAGTCAAAAAAACCTCTACTAAAGCAACACTAACAAATGGCCAAACAAGATGAGTATGTTTGAACACTCTGACTGACCTCAAGAGATTTGCTTTCATATTCTTTCATAGCAGTGATACACTGGTGCTTGGTATTGATGTTTGTGCTAACTCCAGATTTCACCATAGTATCGGTACCGGTTGGTGGCTGCAAGAGAAGAGGTTAGAATACCAAGTTTTAAATCCAGGCCAGCTTCCGTTATTACAGTTCGTAGTCTCTCGGCTGATGCTGTTAAAACCTAAACCTAGCACGGGACCTGAAGCAGTGTATTACTGTTATCCGTACAGCTGTGGCCTCACCCACGGACGAGGCGTGTTCAGCAGCAATCAATAGTGGAATTTACCCTGGTAACACTCAAAACAACACCGTGCAAATAATTGTTCAGTTTCATTTTAAAAGTAGTTTACCTAAGCTTGTGACCCAAATCCTCTAGTTGTGCATGGATTTAATTATTCCCCCATTTTTTTAAACTGTCCTATGAAAGTATACATCAACGACACTCAGTCTGCTCACGCTAACAGCACAGTTCTGTCTAGGCCCCAAAATAACAAAGTCTCAGTCTGTTAAATCAGCTCAGTCCAGAAATGAAAAGGGCTAAGATTTACATGACCAAGTATTTGGGAAAACGAGTGCCTCTTTCCAGCAGATACCAGTTACCCCATGTCCATGATGGCTTCCTCTCCCAGCCACCCTCCATTTTCAACTGCCACAGAACTTTCAAGACGTTACTGAACCCTTTCTTAAAGGGAACTCATCCAGAAAACACAGGGATCACTCTTCACATTTGAGCTTACATTTCCAAAGCCGTGCTGACTTGTAAGAGAACCGAGGTTATTTCGACCCATTCCAAGCTGTCTAACCCTTACTGCTGTCAGCATTTAGCGCTGATCACCTTGAATTCTGCGGCACTTCCTACCTTCCTGAGAAGGCTCCATTTTAAGAGCTGCTTTACCTCTTCAGCTTTAGCAGAGCTGTGAACCTAGCAAGTCTAGACCAGGCATTACTCCACAGTGTATGAGAAGTTTGTCAAACTCAGAATAAAATAAACCAGTCTAGCTCTTTGGAGTTAGTTACGCACCTTATTTCCCCTGCAACAGTTCCACTAAAGGGGATGTTTTCGAACCATTTCAGAACACTGCATACTTTGCATGCTCATCAACTATGCATTTCTAAATTTCACTTCAGTGACTAAGACAGTAACTGCAAAATTTAATGCTTCCTACAGTAAACAGGCTTGATTAAGGAAAAAACCAACCAGTACTTACATTAAACTTAATAGTCGTGCCAGTTGGAGCAGCGGTGAAACTAGTTGGGCCAAAAAGAGAGCCAGACGTACTTCCAAAAGGATTGGAAGTAGTGTTAGTGGTTCCAAAGAGACCTCCACTGCTGGTGCTAGTTCCAAAGTCTTAAAAAAAAAAAAAAAAAAAAAAGAGATCAGTACTAAAACAAACCTTAATTTTAAAACTTACACCCCAATATTTCATTCAAATTACAAAACAGTTCGGAAATGGAAGAAACTTCTAGAAAAAAAAAATTACAGCAAAGCTGGAAAGCGATGGTCTGCTAGTGCAATACTCTGCTGTAGAAGACTGCCCTTAACTCACCACCCCGGGAAATACTGGAACAACCACAGCAGGCAGTTTCATTCTGCTCCTGACAGCGCTAAGAAAATTACGACTATAAAGGGAATCAGTGAGGTTTCGTTTCTTTTCTGAGAAGAGTCTGCACGCAGTAACTTCTGCTTCAGGGAATTACAGTAGAGTTTAAGATGCATTTCAAGCATTCTAGTGCCAGAAGCAAAACCAACTATATCTGCTCTACGACAGCAGAAAAAAACCCCTAAATTAAAGCAACGCGAAAAGGTATTTAAGAATAGAAAATGCCAACCAACCACCTTTTTCAACTGATTTCAAAACTCACAGCTAGAGTTGCAGGTACAGATTTTGTAGCTTATCAGGCTCACTCTTGTCTGCTGTTGACCACAATAATGTCACTATAAATCACCAAAACCCCACACAAACACTTGTGCCAGATCCACATGTACATCCAGCATTCTGTGCTCTTCAATCAAAGAAAATAATCAATGCTCAAGAGAGATGCAGTAGTTTTACTCACTTCCAAACCCCGCTGGCTTATTCTGTGCAAAGGCATTATTCTGGGATGAGAAGAGGCCTCCACCAGTGCTGGTAGTTCCAAAAAGGCTATTTGATGTCCCAGTCGACGTTCCAAATCCAAAGCCAGTGCTTGTGGAGGAGGTGGCTGGCTGATTAAATGTTGTTGAACCAAATAATCCTCCTAAAGACAGAAACAGACTATTAATCATCTGCAATCATCAACTTCTTGGGGCTTTAGGGGGATTTTTGCTGGTGGTGGTTTTGGGTTTTTTTGTTGGTTGGTTGGAGCCCCCCCACTTAAAAAAAAAACAAAAAAAAACAAAAACAAACCACACCAAAAAAAACCCCAAACCAACAAAACCATCCTCTTCTCAAGATTGCATTCCACTAGAACCATAACACAGCAATACCTGGTTTTGTCTGTGTACTCCCAAAGAGGCCTCCAGTATTATTGTTCGACCCAAAGGCTGATGTTCCAAATGCTCCTCCACTTGTAGTACCAAAGCCAGCATCTGAAAACCAGCATTATAGTTTAGATGAAACCATATTCTAAACACACGCACTAGAAACTAAATGCTGTTGCTGCCTTTTGAACTTTCCAAAAGAAGTTTGTGCATGACTACCTAAGCATCAGTGTCTGGGATATGTGAAGTGGCACTATTAATACTCGCACAGAGCTCCTGAAGCTCCTGAGTCAGCCACTTCTACCGAAGGCAAAGACACTCCTCTGCAAGGCCTCTACCACTTTTTATGGCACCTGGAAGTTGCTCTTCTCATACCTTGGTTTAGGAGCAATATAAACAGAATTACTGTGTTTTCTTCCTAACAAATAGAGGTTATACACTAATTTATAGTCTGCGTTAATGGCTAGAAACTCACTCACTGGTATTTACAATGCATATGTCCAGAAGACACTCCTCAAATTACATGCTTTTTCCTTCCAAGTCTTCCCATATTCTAGGGCAACGTATTCTAGTCCTGACTGAAAGAACTCCCACCCCACGCTGCCGGCATGACAGCCTTCATCTGAGCATTTAAATTTCCACTCCTTTTAAAAAAGGAAGTTTCAGCAACTGTACATGGAATTCTGGTATCTACCCAAATTAAAAGCTTGCTTAGTGGAGAAGCCTCGGGCTCCTGAACCTGACTCACAAGTCTGCTTCCTACCACGGCAGAGTGACCCGTGCAGCCCAGCAGCACTCCAGTTCCATCACACACAAAGAATCGCCACCTTGGCCGCATCCTAGAGCTGCGCCTCCAGGAAAAAATACCGTAAGTACTGAAAAGTCAGTTTACACATATTACTTACTTTGTCCAAAAGTTGAAGTTGTCCCAAAGCCAGTGCTGCCTCCAAATGGAGTTCCAAAGGATTTGTTAAACATTTTCAGGATGTATCAGGTTTTCCCCCCTAAGCCTGGAAAGAATTCCAAGATAAGCTTTGAATAAAAGCTGAAACTCATTTTTCATCTTCCGCACTGTTGCTGTAAGCAATCTAATTTGAGTACTTGAGCCATAAAATGCATGACAGAATGTTTAAGTCACACTAAGCAATTTACAACAGTCAGAAACCTGACAGGGACAAGAACACTAACACTTCAGTGACGTCACAAGTAAGCCGTCTTCCACCCCTCATCGTGGCTAGATTTTCTGTACATCTTACAAACTGAAAAAAATAATACATGAAATGACTCCTCTGATCCACATGTTCTCAAGGAAACCCTCTAGAGCATCTAAGACTAACAGCACTTCCCACATCTGTTTCTACTACGTTCGATCCACATCAGGCAACACAAACTCATTTTTGCTCGGCCTTATCAATGCCTGAAAGAGCACCTCACCAGAACGCTTCTCTAATAGTACGCGGAGAGGTCTGTACTGTGCTACGGCTGTTTCTGCCACACACACGGGATTTTCTGTGACTGATTTTCTGTTAAACCCCATTTGCCAACTACTTCAAACAAGACACGAAGTAGAAGTGCAGTGCAGAAGAATTACAGGAATACACCTTCCACCTTCTTCCCATTTATTTCTCACAGGGCTGCTCCAGGATTTTCTTAACTTTCTAAAAGTTGTTTTTAAATGGTGGTTCAGTGAAGTTTTACCCCATTTAGGGAGGGGCCCAATTTACCTTTGCAACACTTGCCATTTTATTTACAGATACATTTAGTAATGCTGTCTCACTCCAATCTATTCTCCAAGTGCAAACACAACGTTACAGCTTTTTCAACAAAACCAACCAAGCTAAAACAAAATCATGACAGACCCTTAGCCATACTCCAGCCAGGGAAATTTGTAGTCTTTTTCTGTATGGGGGCTGACAGGTGTTAGCTCCACCATCGAAAATGCCAATATTATCCAGAAAAAAAAATCATTGTTGGCAGCACTAGCTAATCCACAGCACTGCAGAACTAATAAGTTTAGAAAACTTAAAACATGGCCCATACCAAGACTATTTACAAAGCACTACTTACTATCACATTAGGATAACCCTGTTTTGTGTAATGACACGCTAACCTTTAGCATTCCAGCATTTGCTAAACCCTGTTTATGTTTTCCGGGGGGCTCAACATCCAGGATAGCAATGAACTCCTATCAAGTATTCCCCATTTGGTCGCCAACAATTTAAGTTAAACTCAAACCCCACACCTTTACCTCTGCCCAGGTTTGACGGCTTCTCTATAGCTCCCAAACTCCCACTCTTTTTATATCCTCCTAACCAAAAGGAAGCACGCACCCCACAGTACCCAGCGTACGGCCCAGCAAAGCCACTCCAGGGCGAAGTCACTAAATCTATCTGCCCATCCACGGAATCAGAAGGGTTTGTTTGTCCCAAAAACCCATACTACCTTCTGGGAATAGCCAAATCTAGATTTTGAGCAGCCATAGCTACCCACTGCACCTCTGCAGCCATCCCAGCACTACTGGAGACTAAACAGTCAAGAGCAAATCAGTATCTGACACATTAAAGAGTAACTAAACAGATGTTTTGGGTAATCTTCAACTATTCAAACCAGCAGCACATCACAGTTTTGTGGTGCTAAGAGTCTTCCCACTCACACATGCAAGTCCTTACGGACTTCCTTACGCACATTAAGAGTCCTTTAAATAAAATGATTCTGGCATAAGAAAGAAAAAGCTGATCTGACAAACTATCGGAGCACCCTAAGCCTAGAGCTGCCTCCTGGAAGAGCGCCCTGCCTGCCACCCAACAGGATGCTTCTGTGGGGTGCTGAGTGCATCCCACAACACATCACGCCCCCCAAGTCCCCTCCCCCCAAGGACCTGCTCCCAAACACCCATGCCACCTCCAACTCTTCCACAAGCAGCTTGCCTTTGCAGGGCCAAGGCTGCTTTTTGTCTTCCAGCAGAACCTGGCTTTGGACAACAGAACAAAACACAAAGCCACCTCCTGCTTGCTTCCTCAAAATCCAAACTTTGTGCTCCTGCCTAATTGTATGTGGCCTCCAAGAACATCCATCACCCCCACCCACCTCCCGATACTGCACGATTTGCTCTCCCTTACGCTACATCACCTACTAGGATGCCTTAAAAAAATCCCCCCCCCCTTTTTTTTTTTAACACTTCTAAGAAATTTTACCCTGATGCCCGATGCAAGCACACTCCTTGAACTCTAAACAGCCACCTCAGTTACATTCTTTATTTCTATAGGCTGTTTTCGGTCATCTCACTTTGCCCCTAAGCAAGTCTCACTGACGGCCAGATACAGAGGGTCCGTGCAGTTTTCACTTGTTCAGTCTTGTTACTCTCAACCTTATCTGCAGTTCATAAAACCCCTCTACTTTCACTGCTCCCCTGATTTATGCCACAGCTTTTTCAACATCAGTATACTGAGCATTGTTAAATACCAAATTCTATTTCAGAAGAAACCTGAAGCACAGTTTTCTAAAACACAAACACGTTACTAAAAGATTTCACCCTCCCACAGAGTCTGAAGCTTCGTTTTCCTTGGACACCCACCCTCCTTACCTACTGACCCTCAGCAGCTCAGGCTCAGCCAAAGCAGAGCTTAGGCTTCACATGGTCACCGATACTGTGGACGCATCAGAACCAGTAGCGGGGGAACTCCATACAGACAACAGGCTGGCAACTGCACATGTGAAATGTTGTGCTAATCAAACATGCTCTGAGATGTCCCATGAAAACACACTCAGGGCCCCTGACTGCAGCAACGCTGGCAGCACCCAAGAACTAAGAGCTGCAGCAGCATTCATAAAAGTCTGGAGATCTTTAAACAGCGGTCCTTTCCCACTTGCCAGACACCATCCCCCGCTGAGGAGCAGCCACCCCCTCACACCTGAAGGGCTCTAATTACAGTTTTACAGTAACACCACATAAACCTCCAGCCACATCCAAAGAAACGCAATTACTTCATTAACATAACTTTAAATAACTCTCCCGACAGCAAGCTAGCGCTTACATCCCCAGACTCCCACCGCCGTTAAGACCCCGGAGACAGGCCCACCGTTACCCCGGATTCCACCGCACACAACACGCCGCTCTCCCCAGGACACACCACACCGTTCCCGTGTGCCCCCCCCGCCGTACCCCCGCAGAGCCCCCCGGCTCTCCCGCCGCCATCAGCCAAGCCCAGACCTCCCCCTCA